ATCAACAATAACACTCATATTAGTGGATATTTGACTCGCATTTGTGTTGCCATCAAAAGACATAAATAAGACAAATAGTATTGAATTGATATAACTATTGACATAATTAGTGATCAATTATGCGTGACGATGTTGAAGACATCTTGGAAGTGATCAATGGGCGGCAAACTGATCTTGGTGTTTTGTATGCAAAAGTTGAACAGCATTTACAAAATGCCGGTCATCAAACCACTTCAGTGATGGAAGTGCGTGATAACCGGACATCAGATTATCAGTTGGTTAGACAACTAACTGTGTCCGAGCAATGGGATCGGCGCAATTTTACCGGGGTCACGAAGTTTACACCAATAGCTCTAAATAAACCAATCATTGGTGTTGTATGTATTCTTTATAATTTAAATTATATTTATTATTATTTTAAATAAAACTAATTAATTTTGTGATTAGTTTTGAGTTCATAACAACATTAATAAAATCATTGCTTTTATCGCCGGTCGTCTCTTTTGCGCGCATAATCTTAAGTATAGTTTGCGTAATATTTGCGATACATTCCTCATCAAACAACATTAATTTATTAACATTAAATAATAAATGTTATAAATATACACATGTATTTATATGTATTTAATTTTTTATACAGATTGTTCTCGATTTAAAGTCCGGCAAACACGCCAAAGACAGAAGTGTCACAATTGAATTTGAAGGAGAATATGTAGTTTCAATTAAATTTGAATCACACAATCAAGATATTCAATACGAAATTCTTATAATTGCTTAATTTTGTGTATATTTAATTGCCATTATTATTATTATTATGATTGTGTTTAATTTTTAATGTATTTTTCAGTATATTATAATAATAATATAATAAGTAGTAATTATTTAATTCCTATTAAACAATAATAACCAGATTCTGTATTACTATATTTTTGTTTAATTATTATATGTTCATTATTTTAAATATACTATAAACACTTACTAATTAATAATAAATAAATTACAATTGAACATGAAATAAACAGGTTTTAAATAATGTAATGTTATTTCACTTATAAACATTAGTTTTATTAAATTTTGAAAATATTTTTTGTCCAACAGCTATTAACATACAACATAGGTAATTGTAATAAGACAACTACAACTAGATAATTGTGTTATAAATTATAAATTATTAACTAATCAACAACAGACATTTATATAATATAATTTATTGCATTAACATTACACATGTAAACAAGCAATTAAATTGCAATTGAGTTAAATAAATATGCAGAATATTTTGTTACAAATGCAACCAAAAATGTCTACATTAAAAATTCACCTCGCAATACAATCAAGCCTTATGATCGGGGTGCTCATACTTGTCCATTTTATCATGAAAAGTTTTCTCCAACTGTTTAATATCGGTACAGCACTGGTCATTGGTAGTGGCCTTATCATTGCACTTGGTCTTCAAAGCCCGCACCGTCTCGTTATACTTCTTAAAGGGGGTGACCATTGCTTTGAGGTCGTCCTTATGTTTCTTATGCTCGTCGCCAACCGTGTCCTCCGAGTGCTGTACCATAAACACGAGGAATGTTATCATGTGGGTCAAGTACGCGGTCATTTTATCAAAATTCTCATTTTTGTTGGCTAGAGTGCAGGGAAATATGTGGTACTCCTCGGACGCGCCGGCGGTTGCGTCTGCTGTGGTGGCCGCCCCGTCGCCGGCGTCGTTGGCCTCGGCTGTGGGTATAGTTGTGTTTAATGAGCAGTGAGTTTAATATACAGTAAGTTTAATAAACAAATAATAAGTTGTGTTTAGTTGTGTTTGCAAAATATAGCTATAGCATTGTTTTCATGTTGGTGTGTTTGGGTGTTATTTCAGATAGGAGATGTTTATTTTCTAAATGATCTAGATAGTTTTCAAATAAGCTTACCGTTTATGATAAACGCCACGATTATTGCACACAATGTGTTAATTTTGTACATCATTTAATAAACTTTTTAGGAAATAGATTTGAAATTTATAAATGATTTAATTAATGAACATATTATTTGATATAAAGTATTGCGAATAGTAATGAGGCTTCGATTTACAAATATATTATTAATTTTAATTATGTAGTAAATTGTATAAACATTATTATTTTAATTAAAATTAATTTAATGATGTTAACAATAATGAATAGACACTTGTATAAATTTAACTAAAATAATTATCTAGATAATTACTGTATTGATGTAATAGTTCCTAATTACTAAAGATATTATTATAATAATTGACAAAAGTAACAATTATTAAAATAAAAGCTGGTAACTTGTGTTAATTAATTGAGATTGATAATATAATTCTATTATAACAATTTTATACTAACTTTTATTTTATTAGTATTTTGTTAGTTATTAAAAATGGTTTCTAAATCATTGGTTTGCTGTTTCTTACAGTGTTTCTTATCATATATTTTATTGGTAATTATATTTAATTAACTTGTAATTTATATTTTACTTGACATAACTTACCTAGCTTGTATTTAACACAATACTCATCATTTCGACCTCGACAAAGTTTAGGTACGGTGTGTTTGACGCGTACTCAACCGATGCCGACCCGAAATATTCAGCATTTTATATGGAAAACGGGACCGTATGTTAAACATTATTATCATGTTAAAAGTAGTAAATATAAAATTCTTTAAACTTATCTTATGGTAATTTGTTACAGATATATCATTATTACAAACAATAATATTTGGCCTAAATAAAATGTATAAATTATATCAAATATATAATAAAAAAGTGATTTATTTCGAAATGAATGCTTTAAGTGAAATTCTGTGTTATAATAATGTTATAATTTTTGTATTTGAATACAATTATGTAAAAATGTGAAATCCGGGCCTAATCTTCAAATTAATTGGCCATTTGTTCAACAGTAGCCCAGTTTGAAAGCCCTGTAATCCCTTCAATGTAATTGATTCAGAAAGTGGTCCACAAAACGGCATTGTGTTATACAATGTGCACAAAATAAGACAAGTTTGTGGTCGAGTTGACGCATTTTATTTTACATAGCATTATTAATCATCATAACAATGTGATATTAGAATACCGGAAATATGTTTAATATTAACAATAATAAAATATTTTTTAAATTTGCAATATATATATTTTTTAACAATAAAATTTGTATTTTAATATATAATACCGTATAATAATTAACCTTTATCATATTTATTCTTACTATATAATTATGTAAATTCAATGTGTCATTAAGTTTTTTGTGAGAATAAATGTAAAATTGCATTGAATATGCATAAGAATATGTTTCAAATTTTAGTATAAATACGATGAAGTTTCACCAATTTATATTTACATTGACATGATATTTTTCGTGTTTAAAAATTAATATTATAAATATATAAAGTATTTTAATAACCAATATGAATATACCATCATTTGCAGGAGTTACCCGTGATGACTGTCGAGCGTTTCGTGAAGGTGTAAGTAAATTTATTGATTTTATATTTATTAAATATATAATCGTAAAGTAAATTAATTACAATTTATTATAAACTCTACAACTACTGTACATTTATTTAAATATCAAATTATATACACATTTTATATCTATATTGTATTTAATATTTTTATCACAATAAGACATTTGAGGTTAAAACCAGTAGTTGTTTTATATGATGGTTGAATTCAAGACCAAATGCTATATTATTCTAATTATACTATATAACCATTCATTTGATTATTCCAATAAAATATAATTGTTATTTCAAAATATATCGTATGTTATAAACCTTTACAATTGATATATCGTAAAGCAAATCAAATGCCATACAATTTTTACTATTATTTCATACAGTAATTATATAAATGATTGAAACACAGAGGGTAATAACTCATAGGTAAAACCCAATGTATAACCATGGTATAAACATTGAATGTATTAAATCAATATTAAATTATTGACTATAAGTTTTAAATACTGTATGAGTTAACTGTATGAGTTATTACCCTCTGTATTTCAATCATTTATATCTAATTCTTATTATTAATTCTTTAGATGTTTTTAATTAACAAAAATAAAATATTAAATTAATAAAACTATTTAAATATTTGTTCAGGCTGAAAGACCCTTGCCCTCTACAGTTGGCCGTATTGAGTATATAGGAAATGATATACCTGTGGTTTTCACACAATCGGACATAAATAACTTAAAACAAACTGAAAAATATTATTACAATCAATTTAAATGCTGTTTGGCCGATAAAAGCTGTCATAAATCTTACAATATTGCATCACAATTTTTGTCGCACAATCTTCTTAAACATGGTAATGCTACATTATTTTGTTATTACTGTATAAATATATATCCACACAGATCACATGTTTATACACCCGATAAATTATATAAACACGTGATCAAAAAACATTTTATGTTAAAATTTCAATGTAATTTGTGTGCAAAACGCGGGATTACTAAATCACATATAATTTACCATATGAAACATAAACATATTCGATTACACAATTCCCGTAGATTTGGCCGCAAAAACAAAATATATATAAACATGTTAAAAGTTATTTTTTGTCAAAATAACTTTGATAAATATTATACTTTTATATATACAGATTATTATTATTTAAAAAAATATCATTCTAAAAACCGTAAATCATTTAATTTACGAAAATGCTTGTGGTGTGCTTATACTAATTATTTAAAAAAATTAACAATACATATGAGTGAAATCCACCCGAACCGACCTTTAATCTATTATAAATAATATTATAATATATTTTTCTTTTAAAATTATATATTTCCATATTAATCAATATACATGTTAATTATTTTACCATTTATATATTTATCACATTTTATTTAATATATTATAATTTGTATATAGTTTTGTATAAATATAATTAACAAAAAAAATTTGTAAAATTTTATAAAATCAATAAAAATAAAAAAAGGTGGTGGAAAAATTGTTGATTATTATGTTATTTCGGACACTAATGACATTTCGACTTGTGGCGCGAGTTTCAATTGGGGCCGCACTTCGTGCCAACGCTCGCCGGGGGGTAGATATGCGTCCACGTGTTGCTGGTTCTGAGGGTTTGCATAATAGGGTTGTTTAGTGAATAAATGATTTATTCTGTGAGAATAGGAGAAAAACTGTACCTCAAACAGGAAGGGGGATATGAGTATATCCCGGCCCCACATAAACTGGGTGTCAATGATATGTGTATTCACATCTTGAGGTCACTCGTGAAACAAGGGTCGGGCGACGGTATCGCCATAAAGATAGCTTCGGTAGAATAGTGTATACAAATAGTGCAACAGTTGGTACCGGAGCTGCAGTGAAGTGCGGGCCGCTTCAGTCACTTCCGGGTGTCCTTTGCTTACCCATACGGCCGGGTCCTGATCTTTATAACCTCTATCGTTATGATTGCGTGAAAACGGGTAGAAAGCGTCCAATTGTGACCACCGGCGGCATAATTGGGGATTAGTCTCCCCTATAAAGCCGCAGATGTCAGCGCCAACCTGTGCCAAGAAAGTGTGTACGATATTACCGTCATTGTATACTTTGTCAATGAGGTACTTACAAAACTGACGCCAAACATGTTGAACTCAAGCATACCGACCACTGAGTGGTGCATCATTTTCCATTCGGCTCTATTATCTCCCAACCAATGGGCGCCGTATCGGCCCGATGTGGGGTATGTGCTCCGGGACACCACAAAACCACGTTTACCAGTGGTTGCGTGTAATGCCCTGTGGGGTAAATAAATAATACAATACACTATGATTATATTTAGGTGGTTTTTAGTCATAGGAACTATTAATTGTGGTCAAATAGTAAACATCAAAAATAAATCAAAGTTAGGGTCACATACTTTTGTGTACTAATAGTCTCAGTTAAGCAATATAATGAATGCACGTCATAATGAGAGGACTGTTCATTATCTCCCTGAGTACTGGCCATGCATATGGTTTTCTCTGACAGTTGTCTGCCCCAAATGGCCGCTTAAATATATAACAATTGATATGATTGTTAATTCAATCATGATAATTTAATACATTATTTAGTACAATATAATTATTACATACATGATCTAATCAACGGGTAATCGTACTTATTATTCGGACATTTTGATTCAAAACTCGAGGGATCATTCATATCCTACGGACGTAAAACATTTATTACCATCATGAAAAGAAGTAATGATGAGTGATTAATACATACAATCCATAGTGCTTCAAAGGGTAAAACACCATGTAGAGTTTTCACTTGGTTTGCCCACCAGTCAGTAGTTTTATTCTTGAAAAAGTCGGGGAAGGCGGCTGGTCCTGAGGGCCACACTTTGCCGTAAATGGTGTCCTTATCGGTGGGCACTCCGGACGGGTTTTGCCGGTCCTTCACCGCCACATCTTTTGACCATTTGATAAACACATCCTGTTTATAGCCCTCGTTAAATGTTGTGTAGTTTGGGTTATTAGCTTCAATAGCCGGGTCCAGGATCAGTGTCCAATGAACATGGTTGTTGGCAATACTTGTTTTGAATAGCTCCGGGAGTCCGGCAAACTTATTCTTATCGTACGTAAAGTCCTCGTACTTATCCATATAGTCGATATCGATATACATTACATCCTATTGTTTAATAATTAAAACATTTAATTCATGTTAATTATGGTAACTCTCATAAGTATAGAATCTATACTATAGACACTATAAGTTTATATTGTACTTTAATATTAGATATTAATACTAACCAAGGGTATTTTTTCTTTGACATTCCTGTCGAGCACTTCGCGTACATTCTCTGTACCTTTGAACCCGTATCGGCACAGTTGATACCCCAGACCCCAGAAGGGAGGCATTGTTGACCGACCGATCATCGATGTGTACAACTGTATCACGTGCTCGGGGTTTTCACCTACGAACACGAAAAAGTCCAAAACACCCCCGGTGCTTTTCAATGACAGGGCTGGCTCTGGTAGAAGTGTGTAATCTATCAAAATAAAAATGTAATATTAGTAATTAAACTTAATTTACAACATGGTATAAAATAAGATTAATACTAACCCATAGCGTTACTATTGAGAAACAGTATTCCGTGCGCTTTGCCATCCGATTCCAGTACAGTATAGAACGGGTGAACACCGTATAGATTTTTCATATGCTATTGGCATAATGTTTGACAATTTTGACCAAGAACATAAGGTACAAATTAGCTTCTTAATTTTTTTTAACAATTATTAATAGCATGAAAGTTATCAAATCAATATGAGTGGTAACATACCTCTCCGAGAGGGTTATCGCGGGTAAACATTGGCTAAGTCTTGTAACTCATGTCGTGTCGCAAACTTTGGTGCACATTCTCGCCGAAGCCGTAGACGTTATTTGTGGCCAAATTAGTGGCCAATTGTAGGAATTGATCGGCAAATACTAGACCACCGATAGATGTGTCAAAACTGTTAGAGTGAGGGAAAGGGAGAGAGGATTACAGTATATAACTTATTTAGTTTTAACTGTAGTTTTAATGACAAATATAACTTACATTTTAGTTTTGGTGTCTTTACGAGTGATAGTGAACTGAAAGTCGTTGAGATCAGTGCCGACGTCGACGGCATACCTGCGCTTTTGCTCGTCTCTCTCAGTCCTGTCCATCAGATTAAACACCTGTTGAACGGGAACTTCGTATCGCTTGACCGCCGGATCTCTTTTTGTGAACCGAAGTATATTTTCTGTCATATATTTGACCGAAAACTTGAGGCTTTCTATCGATGGCATGGATTTGAGGGTACGTTTGGCCGTATCTTTGAGTTGGAGATCGGCCTCCAGTCCGGTGTCGGTCTTCTTGACACCTGCGGGTACTTTATAGCCGACTTGTTTTGAGTCCAAATAACATATGGGCACTCCTGGGGTTGTGTTTTGAGTCCCATATACACCCCCTGTCCTTACATTGTTGTTCACATTTTGTGTGTTTACATTTTGCTAATTTATTAGCCCATGGTGAAATGCAAACATATAAACAAATAGTAATTTATAAATGAGCTAGTTGTAATTTGTTGTGACAATAGTGAAACACGTGACTCAAAACACTAGCTATTTATAACAAAGGCCAACTGTTATTAACGGGACTTTTAATTACTTACTATTATTAATAGACATTTAATTGCGGATTAAAAATCTACAGTAAATAAAACGCAAAATGTAATAATAATAACACTATTTATGCACATGTATACCAGATATACGCATAGATAGCGTGTATATACAGTATATACATGTATGTCTATGAATTGCAACGTTTCGCATACATCTGTGTATAGACTGTATATAACGTACGCTATAATAGCGTATGACTTGTATAGCAAGTACAGTCCACTCCGCGTATAGCGTACGCTATGACTAATGACTAATTAATTTGCATTTTAATTAACCATAAATAATAATTAAAATCTGTATATAATTTACAATAAATACATTGATCATATAAATCACACATGATTAATCAAATAAACTCTACGTTAATAGTGTACTGTACTTGTGGTGCACGTGGAGTGCCAGCCAATGTTTTCAACCCTTATTGAACCCGTTGCATTTTGACAGCTCATAACTTGACCTAGTTAATTACATATAAATAGCCGTGATTTAGGGATTTGGTGGCTAGATGGCACCTGAGTCACCTGAATCACCTCTATGGTTGGGTGAGTGAACAATCATTTATTACCTTAATATCTTATTGTTATAATTTAGTATATTTAATTATAATTAATTATTTATTTAATTTATGTAATTTACCTTGACCTATTTAGTGCGCATGCGCTTTATAAATAGGTTAAATTTATATAAATCTATGTTTATATCTATACTATGCATAGTTTTGGGGTGCGAAATGCACTGTAATCTATGGGTAGACCCGTTATCTTACTATTAAACATAGACATCCAAATGACAGACAGCTGGGTCTACCCATATAAAACGCTATTTGCATACACTCTATGTATGTATGCATACATTCATCATGCTAACTTTGGATAACAAGTGTTTATCAAACCAGTCAGTATATATTTACCGACGGGTGAATTGGTGATTTTACCGCTGGCCACTTTTCTAGAATGGCGGCCAAACGTACGCTATGAGAAATGTTGTGCTTGTAGATAATGTATAACATTACTCCATACATTACTATGGTAATAAAAAGTGGGTCAAACACCCGAAACCTGTTTTCGGGGCCTCCGCGGCTCTGACCAAAGTTGGTCAGCACGGGAAATGACGGCGTCTGGGCTATACTACTGACTACTCATGATATTTAAATTTAATATTATATTTATACAATTAGAATTTTGTGCAATTAGTTGTCCGGGTAGTGAAAATATATGGCAGATTTTGTAATGTAATTCATGCACGACTTGTATAACTACTAAATTATAATTAAAAACTTACCCGGATAAAATTATTGTAGGTCGCGGAAGTTTTCCTAAAAATCATTTTCATCTTACCATGCTCTACTTGATTGATTAATGCTTCTAATGTATCCACTCTTAACTCATGGGGTTTAGCAATAAGCGAGTAAACACAGCCACCATAGCTGGCTGTTAAAATGAGACAGGTCAGGAACCATAAGCAAATCATCATCATGGTCAATTTTGTATTAAATCTCTTGACATTTGTTGGTTGGTGACATAATATTGTAATTATTGTCCAAAATGGTGATGGTAAACCAAACGGAGTTTTAAGTAATGTGGCAAAAAATGACCAGTATATTAATATACAAAATAGCAAAGCAA